TTCCCAAAGAAACTCTAGATATTGTGAAATTGCCTCTGCATTATTTTCAATACTAAATAAAAGAGTTATAGTAACTATGATGAAGGGTTATCCTCAAGAAGGCCAAACTAATTCCAAAGAGGTATCTATTGATGAATAAAAATAATATTTTAACATATTTCCTCCTTAAGTCTACCATAGTAAGAAATTGAAAATGTTTTAATGTATTTCCATGCTATTGAACTGTTAAGCCTGATCATTCAACATTAATTCATCTATTATTCACCTTGATAAATTAACTTTTTACATGTTCCTGCATGAAATGAAGCAGAATGTTAGGGCCAGAAGATCAGTCTTGGATCGTTTACTGGCCCATGTTATCTATTGATGATGTGGAACTACTATGAAACAGCTCAACAAAATATTTGATCTCCACTCTCCAAACGGGATCTTTTCACAACCTGCATTCATTACTTTAACAGCTCTTTAACCCCCCCCCCCCCCCACAAAAAAAATAAAATAAAATATTAAATAAATAAATAAATTAATTAATTAAAAAAAACAAAAAAAAAAAACATAAAAGATAAATAAATAAATTAATTAAAAAAAATTAATATTCAATTAGTTTATGGGCTTGTATTATCTACTTAAGATGTTGAAGTAGTAATGAAACGGTCCAAAGAAACATTTCATCTTCACTGATCAAACAGGATCTGTTCATAACCTGCATTTTTTACTTTTGATTAAAGGCCGTCTGTACTAGTTTGGCTAGGATGGATTAGACCACTCAGGGTGGTCACTGATAGGTGGCTATCTCATCAACTCGGCTCTCAATTAAAATAGAAAAAGAGGATCATGGGGGACCCATGGTCACCGATTAGGCACTAGTTTGACATAGAAGGTACAAGTAGTACAGTAGGGCTTCAATAGCTCTTTAACCATTTAAAAATATTTATGATGCTGCAGTTTTAAATGAACATGAGTTGGAGACGAGACTTTCATTTTCATGTTGCTGGAAAAAGAAATACATTTTTTAATCTACATGTACTGTAAATGTAGAATCATTATAACCACCTATACGCTTCATTAAGATAATTTAATGTTGTGCTTTCTACTGAAGGTATGAACATGAAATATTTAGATATTATTTGTTTACAAACTTGATTTAGCATTCAAATTAAATTGTTTTAAAACGTTTTTTAGGTGTTTGTGCTGTTATGGAGGTTCATATATATCATCAATAAAATATAGTTTTATTTCGATCACTTAATGCATATTAACTCTTTATGCGCCACTTAAAAAACCCCCCTGTGCCACATTCTTTTAGGGTCACACATTTCAAGGGAATCTTTATTGACTCTGCTGAATCAAGAGGCTATAACTCTTCACTGGATGATCATGATGAAAAATATTGTGCAGCAAAGTTGTAGACCGGAAAACGTGCTTTTCGATGAACCGTCATTTGTTATATTTTGAATTATCATTTTTATAATAATCATAATTATATAATGTTGAATTTTTCTTATTTACGGCAGTTTTTTATCCCTCTAGAATTTCTTATTTAGCAATGATAAGACATCTTCAAATCGAATCTATTAGAAAGGTGGACTTCTTACCTTTCTTTACATACCTTGCTCAAGTATTCTAACAATTCAGAAGGTTAGTATTTAGGTTGTTGAAGAAAAGAAGTTCAATAGGGAGAGACTTGAAAGTACCCCGCTCAGCCACCCTTGACAATGGGCTAATCTGCCCATTGAAATCCCTATTACCCCAGGTTATTGTCAATGTCCGGTTTAGCGGGGCATGAAAGGGACGTCGTGGGGATGTTTTTCTTTGTTGTGCCATGATAAGTCAATAAGAAATAAGAGAATGTTATTGATTTTGCCCACTGGTATGAGCATGTAAAAATGGTATAGGCATAATATATTATATGTGATATACATGACATAATCAGCATCTTATTGAAATGTCTCATTATGAATGTTCACCGCATCTGTTCTCTCACCTTCTTTACCCCTCAATAAAATTGATTTCAAGTACATTTATCACAGCCATAGATATACAAAGAAAGAATGAATCAATCTTAAAATATAAACTATATTGCATTGTTTTCCATTTACTTTATTGTGAGAGAGCTTATTATCAGAAATGATTGACGAGTGGAGTATGCAATGAATAAAATATGGAGAACGGACGTGAGAGACATTATGAGAGAGAAATAGTGATATGAAATGAAAGGACTTTACTGTGAATAAAGATTATAAGAGAAAGAGATAAAGATGACGGCAAGACAGGATACATATTGATACGAAAATAACAATAATAATGAGATAGAGATGACGGAAAGAAAGAGAGTAAACACTGATAGCATAAGAATGAATAAAGATAATAAGAGAAAGATATAGAGATGACGGCAAGACATAGGGTACATATAGATAGGAAAATGATAATAATAATAAGATAGAGATGACGGAAAGAAAGAGAGTAAACACTGATAGCATAAGAATGAATAAAGATAATAAGAGAAAGATATAGAGATGACGGCAAGACATAGGGTACATATAGATAGGAAAATGATAATAATAAAAAGATAGAGATGACGGAAAGAAAGAGAGTAAACACTGATAGCACAAGAATGAATAAAGATAATAAGAGAAATATATAGAGATGACGGCAAGACATAGGATACATATTGATAGGAAAATAATAATAATAATAAGATAGAGATGACGGCAAGAAAGAGAGTAAACACTGATAGCATAAGAATGAATAAAGATAATAAGAGAAAGATATACAGATGACGGCAAGACATAGGGTACATATAGATAGGAAAATGATAATAATAATAAGATAGAGATGACGGCAAGAAAGAGAGTAAACACTGATAGCATAAGAATGAATAAAGATAATAAGAGAAAGATATAGAGATGACGGCAAGACATAGGGTACATAATTATAGATAGGAAAATGATAATAATAATAAGATAGAGATGACGGAAAGAAAGAGAGTAAACACTGATAGCATAAGAATGAATAAAGATAATAAGAGAAAGATATAGAGATGACGGCAAGACATAGGGTACATATAGATAGGAAAATGATAATAATAATGAGATAGAGATGACGGCAAGAAAGAGAGTATTACACTCATAGCATAATAATGAATAAAGATAATAAGAAAAAGATATACAGATGACGGCAAGACATAGGGTACATATAGATAGGAAAATGATAATAATAATAAGATAGAGATGACGGAAAGAAAGAGAGTAAACACTGATAGCATAAGAATGAATAAAGATAATAAAAGAAAGATATAAAGATGACGGCAAGACAGGATACATCTTTCTTTCATTAGTTTTATTCATTCTTATTCTATCACTGTCTACTCTCTTTCTTGCTGTCATCTCTAGCTCTTTCATTAATTTTTATTCATTCTTATTCTATCAGTCTACTCTCTTTCTTGCTGTCATCTCTATCTCTTTCTTTCATTATTTTTATTCATTCTTATTCTATCACTGTCTACTCTCTTTCTTGCTGTCATCTCTATCTCCTTCTTTCATTTTTTTTTATTCATTCTTATTCTATCAGTCTACTCTCTTTCTTGCTGTCATCTCTAGCTCTTTCATTAATTTTTATTCATTCTTATTCTATCAGTCTACTCTCAGGGAACACTTTTATCACTAGAGTCTTCGTCACTGCTCGATTCGTCGGAATCAGAGTCCATGCTCCATGCTTCCATAGTAACAAGATCTCGAGCCTCCTCTACACTAAACACACGTTGACGTTTTCCAGCAGGTGCCATCGTAACATCAGTAAAAAAAATCCAAAGAAAACCGCTAAATACACGGTAATTTCGAATGTAACACTATGAAGAAAAACAGTTTACCGGAAAGTGTGCGATGTATACAATGTAAACAATAGTAAACGCAACGCGTGGCTACACACTGCGAGCGGTATTATGAATGTCTAATTGACTCGTATACATCTGTGCAAAAATGCGAAGTTGGCACGCCTACGTCCGTGCAAATCGGCGAACAAAGCAAACAAAGAGTTAATATAATCTTATTTCTACAAATAAGATATTCAAATTTCATTTAATAAACTTGTTTCATAGCTTTAGCCCTTTTACAAATATGTTTATGCTTGTGCTATTCAAAGAAGTTGTGGCCTACTGTTGACAAAAAAAAAACTTTTAATTTTGATTTAATTAATTCATTTTTCTTGCTACATACAGAACACTGTACATTGTATGTTGAAACAGGAACGCCCGATATATTTCAAACTAAAAACTATAATCTCTTGTATGTTAAATAGCTTTAACCTTTCAAAAAGTTTTTTTGGTGTTTTGCTATCCACTAAATTAAGTAAGAATTGATTACACAATCATTGATATATTTTATTTGTTTACTTTCATTAAATTAATATTTTCTTTACTTTTTAAACAGGATCTTTTATTGCACCTTTCAAGGCCCCTGCAGTCAAATCAAACAAACCAGTTATCACAAAGAAACAGCCCGAACCTAAACCAGTAAGTATGCATACATTTAAGTTCTTGTACATGTACATATTATCTAATCAATCTGATGTAAAGTTACCATTTGGAAAAATGTAATCAAGATATTTCTTATTTAATAAGTTCTGTCATAACTAGAAGTTTACCTCACCGAAATAGTGGCTACACCGTTTTTGTCTTGCCTGAACAGAGCTGCCAACCATTACGGTTTTTTTCCCCAAATTACTCTGTTTTTTCCTCCAAATTACGGTAGTACGTTTTTTCTTCATAATTTTTTTTTTTCACGTAGGTGGGAATATGAAGTATTAGGAAAATACAGAGACTAAAGGAAGGGAGAGAGATGATAAGCGTGACTGCCAGAGGAACACATTCATATTCTGTTTCTTCTTTCTCATTTAGCACACTGTAACATCAGGGACTGTGTGTGATGATGACGGCACTCCACTCAATGATGCTCATCCTACAGTTAGCGAGATAATCATTGATCTCCTTGAATGAAAGGACTATGCCGATTCCACCCAACCACAAACCAATCCGACAGCTTCATCAGGTGATCAGGGGAATCAGTCAGGTGATCAGAAGACTGAGCAAACCTGACAGGAGTAGCTACAGAATGTGACCATTCTCCCGAGCAACCCCAAACATCTTGTATGAAAGATGGTGGACGTACTGGTGGAAAGGCAAAGTCTCTCTCTGGTAAGAAAGTATGCTTTTTCTTTCCAAATTCAATTTCCATTTTCTTGGGCATTATATATATTTTTTTTCCATTTGAATGAAAGCTAGATAGGGCGATTCTGCGTTATGTGTCCCATTAAACTGATGATGTCTATTACTATTTTTTACACCCATGAACGAAGACATGTTTTGACAACTTGATATGACTAATTATGACAAATGGTAGCGATACCAGAAAGCATCATTATTCAGTGGTCATATGAAGAAATTGACGTTTATTATTTGATGAAATATGTGGAAATACTGAAGCTTCCCATTTGGCACTGATCAGAATAAAACACTATTGTCTCTCACTAAATTTATTTCCCCCCCTCCTTTTCAATTTCATGTTATTAAAGGTATTAAAAAAATTTGGTATGGGCACATGAATTTGGTTCAAATGAACGTATTGAGAGTATTATGCGATCCTACAATATGCAGTGATCGTTGTCGTGGTTGAAATCGAGTCTAAAGTTATGAAATTATAAATAATAAACTCTTTATGTCGTATAGCTCCCTCTCAAGGTCAATATATTAATTAAGCTATAAAACAATGTTTCTTGTCTAAAATTGACCGATTAGCTATTCTCGTTTGGAAATTATATATCACAACAACATACTCTGAGATTTTCAAGGTCGCAGCCACCATTGTACGACCATAGGCGCTATTTGAAATTTATCAAAATTTACCGGGAGCACCGGTAAATGTTTGTATTCAATTTTTCCCGAAAGTAGAAGAGTTTTAGGGGCTGAATTTTTTTGTGCTTATACATCCACAGGCCCATCTTAATATATCAAAATTATAAAGAAATAATATCCACCTAATTTCAAAATCTCCCAAAACTTTGTATTACCTTTGATTTATCACACATAGAAAGCACCATCAGTTTGCTGGCTGTGCAATGAAAATTGAAGATATAGGGAACTAAAGTGGGTGAAAAATAAATGTACATGGGTTCATACCAGGGCTGAGGGTAAATAGTATAATTCTGAAATGAAAATCTTTATCATTATGGTATGTATATACTCGGAATAAACTGAATAATTAATTTAATTTCAGACAGGAGAAAGGAGAAACCCCAACCATCACCCAGACTATCTAGATACTCCAGAAGAGCAGTGAGCCGGAAGTCCTATAAAGAAGATGATTGTAAGTAAACACAATATGGACTTTTGTTTTATTCTGTTCTTTTGTTTTGTTCTTTTTTGTTGGTCATTTGTATATTTTTCGTTTTTGTTGTAGAATTCTTCAAATTCGTAAGGCTGATTATTCTGAAGCTCCATGTACAATGTATGAAGTGGTTGCGTATGAACATCTCCCCTTTCAATACATGGACTACTTTAAACCTATTCTAATGCATCAGTTTTGAAAAAACCTACTGAATTCATTTAACAAAATGATCAGTTATATACCTGTAATCAGAGGTGAATTATCTAATGAACATAATTCCTTCCATGCAGCCTTGAAAACACATCTGGTTTTAAGAAATGAAGACGATAATGATGTTCAATAGATAATCAATTTTATTATCATTATTTTCCCCTTCAGATTGTGAGGACTGTCACGAGGTCTTTGAAGGTGGGTGTTCCAAGCATTCCCTTACCACCATCAAGGACAACCCCAGCCCTAAAGGGTCTAAAGACAAAGCAAGGAAGACTCTACCTGATGGTCTGGCGGTCAAGCCGTCATCAATACCAGGGGTTGGTCAGGGGATCTTTGCTACCAAGTTCATTCTTAAAGGATATCTGTTTATTCCATACGCTGGTGACATTGTGGACCTAGAGATTGAAGATAATGGTGCAAATGCTTTGGAGGTATATCGAGTCATTCTTCTTTTGATATGATTATGTATTAAACAACAATGCATGTCATGTTTGAACATTATTTAATATTGGTTATATTTATAAGCAAATCTTGCACATGTAGTTTTGACAGCAATGAAAATACGAACTGAGTATTAAGAAAATATTTCTTGCTGTACTGTGCTTTAATGAAACTTGCTCCAAATTTGTATTAGCTACATCTATTTTGGAGATGTACATAAATATGGTTATTGGAAAAAAAACAGATTTAGGGGAGGATTATTACTTTGCCTTCCCTAGCATTTCACATACAATCTATTTTCATGGATTTATCCTTACACTGCATTAATTGTTACAAAATGCCCCATCCCCTAAAGTATACATTGTTCTTTTTTTTTTCTTCTAAGCATATGATAAACTTCTAGTATGGTTATATTTATGCTAATTCATTGTATACCAACATAGTTTTGCTTAGGCATCCACTAAATATTGAATGATTTAAAATTGTTGGGCAGAAATACAATGCAGTGCATTCTTTTCTACATTTGTACTTATACATGCAAGGAAGGAAAACCTCACCAATCTGCTGACAGCAAAAGTGAGCAGACAGGCAACTGGATGCAAGACATCAACTGTGCATGCAATGAGGGTGAACAGAACCTTGTAGCATTCCAGTATCTTGGTGAGATCTACTACCGTACCTTCAAACCAATATGTCCAGGAACGGAGCTACTGGTCTACTATGGGGAGAGGCATGCAAAAGATCTTGGTATCACATCGCAGCTCTATAAACTCAACATTGAAACAGTAACTTGATTAGGAAACCTGTGTCAAATAACACGATAGAAATTTCATTTATATATATATTTATATATGCAGAATGAAAAGTGCGTTGCCTATTGATTACAAATTTCGACATGTTCAATGAACTTATTATATAAATTAAATTAAATGCCCAGAAAGAGAGAGGATGCAGAAAAAAAAGACCCCACAACAATCACTTATTAGCTTTAATACATTGTGATTGTGATTTTTTTTTTTTTTTACTCTAGAGTTTCATACTATGCCTTGTATGCTTTATCTTATTATTTTAGATTCTGGCCTCGCCTATAGATGTGAGTACTGTGGTTCACGCTACGCAATTCCTATCGTCTTAGCAAGGCATCTCAAGTACAAACATGGACACTATGGTATCCTCCCGCCAGCAGATGCACCAAAGGAAGACATTCTACAGTTCATCAAAGGAGAAATACAAAAACCTATTCAATCTGTTAATAGAGGTGTGAGAAAGAACTCGGGCAGTGATACAAAGAATAAAGCCAACAATGATTTGTCAAATGATAAAATGAAAAATAATATTAAACCTACTTGTAGTGATAGGAAATTTACTGATGAAATTCATTGTACTAAACTTGGAAGCGCCAAAACAAATAATAAGCCATATTTTTGTGGTAAATATGGTAACGCATTTAACGATAATCCTGTCAAACAGAAAGAGAATCATGTAGCGAAGAAATCTTGTGCATGTGATCAATGTGGTAAAACATTCAGTGATGCACATAATCTTACAACACATAAATGCATCTATATAGATAAGAAGCCCCATGTATGTGATCAGTGTGGTAAGGAATTTACTCAAAAAGCTCATCTCACATCACATAAACGCATTCATACAGATGAGAAGCGCTATGTATGTGATCATTGTGGTAAGGCATTTAATCATATGGGTAATCTCAAAAAACATAAACGCATCCATACAGGTGAGAAGCCCTATGTATGTGACCAGTGTGGTCAGGAATTTAATCGTAAAGATGTTCTTACAGCACATGAACGCATCCATACAGGTGGGAAGCCCTATGTATGTGAAAGGCATGTAGTCAAGCTTAATCTCGAAAGACATAAACGCATCCATACAGGTAAAAAAAACCTATGTATGTGAGCAATGTGGTAAGGCATTTAGTGAAAAACATCATCTCAAAGCACATGAACGCATCCATACAGGTGAGAAGCCATATGTATGTGATCATTGTGGTAATGCATTTAATCAGAAACATGTTCTCACAACTCATAAACGAATTCATACAGGTGAGAAGCCATATGTATGTGATCAATGTGGTAAGGCATGTAATCAAGCTTGTGATCTCAAAAAACATAAACACATTCACACAGGTGAGAAGCCCTATTTATGTGATCAGTGTGGTAAAGCATTTAGTCAAATAAATAATCTCACAATACATAAGCGCATCCATACAGGTGAGAAGCCCTATGTATGTGATCAATGTGGTAAGGCATGGGGTGACTCTTCCTCTCTCAGGTATCATAAGCCAAAATGTCAAGATGCAAACACACAGTGCAATAAGAAACTCATTCATTGATGAGTAGCATCAAAACAAATGAACTGTAGGTCTTAATCTATGATATTTAATTAATTTCTGCATCTATTAGGGATGCCAGTTTTCAGGCAATAGCCCGAATTCAGGCCCTGGCGAGTTATTTTCAGACCATAGTTCAGGCTTTTTTGTGTACAAAATAGCTCATTCTATAGGTAATTGTCAGGCCCTCTGATCAATTCTAACTGGCATCCCTAATCTATGAACTATCTTTATGATGGGAGTATCTACAAATGTCTGTATTGATGAAATTGTTAGCGTTTAATATCATATGTATTCTTCAATGACATCAAAATAGATTGTAATTACATTTGTGTGTCTTTACATATTGAATAAGGAAAGTTACATTTTGCATGACTTGAATTAATATACATATTTATCTGCAGTGTTGGCTTGTCAATCATAATAGTCCCCAGTATTCATTTTTCCTCTCATTCTATCCTAAATATGACTAGGTAAATGCTCGTGTAAGTAAATAGTGTTTAATTTGTAATTGAACGATTACAGTTTTGAAATGGACTGTCTAAATGAAACAGTTTTGACACAAACCAAAATCTTTGAAACTACAAATTAATTACTTGATCAATTATCTAACAGGCAGGTATATGTTTAGAGGTTTAGTGAAAAATAAATTCCAGCAATAACAAGTTTCAATAACTGTTATAAGATGCCAAAATCGTGGTATTTGCTTGGCTGATCGAGATCAAATGTTTCATAGAGATTCGGTTTTTGTTAGTGATTACACATTTTATCGAACAGGGCTCAAAAACGTGCTTGCTTTTATGATATCAATCTCTCCGCTTAGCCTAGAACCTCGAGCTCCCCAACACCTGAAGCAAGACGAGAATCATGACGTGTCAGTATACTATTGGTCTATTTTCCCGTGAGAACGAATTCGCGGATCACGCCATCTTCGGCTTGCACCAAGAAGCTGCTTGGGTGCTTCATACCTTTCTCATGATTATAGGTGAAATGGATATATTAAGATGAAATCAGTCACATTGTAGAAAAAAGTCCTACCCTTGTTCCCGAACTCGATCTGTTTCTCCTTTAAGTCTATTGTTTTCATTTCTCCATCTTTTGTTTTTACTTCAAATTGCCTTTACTCTCATTATTACGTCTAACCAGCTCATTTCTCATCTCACTTAATTTTCTTCAAGGCCATGCATACTCCCATCGCGTTTTTTATTTCTCCATTTTTAAACTTCGATTCTGCTCTCCGTGTATTTCTTACAATCACCATTCCACTATACTCTCGTGCTAGTCCAGAATCCGATCATTTTTGTATTATCTCCACTACCGTGATTGTTCCCTACTTGTTGCAAGCCGCGAAGATGCCGCGAAGCAGCATGTGTACGTACGGGATAATAGAGGGATACAAGTGAAAATAAGAACCGTCCAGATTTAGATTGTAGAGAGCCATTCAACAGAGTTGTTGTTGTTATAAAAGCTATCGAACTTACAGACGTAATTTGAAAATAATACGGAAGTGAATAACGACAATTCGTCCTTGTTTTCACGAAGTGACGGTAGTGAGGAAAATCGTAACGCAAAGTGAATGCAATTTTTTTTCACTACCGTCACTTCGTGAAAACAGCGACGAATTAATAACAAATTATTTATGGCAATCATATGGAATATTTGTATTAAAAGAATATATATGTTTATATCCGTTGTTTGCTTTCACTAACGTTAACAGACATCCAAACAACAAGTTCAGCACTGGGTATTTAGGTTTTAGAAATGCCATAGTGTGCAAATTGATAACAAAAGTGAGATTTTTTTCCCATTTAGGCTTTCACAGGGATTTACCTTATTTATTCGTATTTACAGTTTTGTTTTGTGGTATTTTTGTTAATACCAAAGACAACTCCATACTAGTATATATTTCAAACCTTTTGAACACACATGCACTACTAATTATAAAGGTTCAATGTTCAGGGTATCTAACGGATAAATTACACGTAATGTGAATGATGCAATTGCACTTTGCCCATTATGTCAGCCCTTATGATTAAAAAGAAATATAATAAAGACGACAATATGAAATATATGATAAATTTGACCAATCGTCGAGCAAGATTGTTAGTATGTGGAATATAATAAGCAAATAATTACCGTTGGTGAAGGTGATGGGACAAACTATCACTTCCAAGGTGATCTGGGCGTAGCTATCTTTCCAAAGCGAAGCTGAGGAAAGATAGCGTATACATTCAGATCACTGAGGAAGTGATAGTTTGCCATCGACTGAAATCAAAAGATGATTATTTGCTTCTTTATTAACATCGGAAACATTTCACTTCTTATTTTAGAGCAACAAGTCATCAATTAACAGCTAGCAAACTTTGTACGAAATGGTGGTGTAACCGTAAGTAGTTCGCGCGTGACCAAAGCTCGCGTACTAACACTAAAACTAGAGGAGAGCAATACGCAACGTATACAATTAAAGTGCGTTGCACTGTGTACATAGTAGCTCTATCTTCAGTGAAAGTGCTTTGCTCTTTGAAGAAAGTACTACTTTCTACACAGTGCAACGAACTTTTCTTCACCCATCAATGATGGGCGAACTATCTTTCATCACGTGATTTACTTTTGACCAATCGTAGAACAAGATTGTTAGTATGTGGAATATAATGTCAAATACATATCCACACAATAGTAAAACAGAAACTCAGAAAATCAGAAACAGCATCTATTGAGCTACAAGAATTTATCATTTCTAATCCCCGGTCCCAATCTCCCATTTTAACCAATGGTTTGTCTTCATCTAAACTTATATTTATCATCTACTTCACACAGATCGTTACTGAGTATCAACAATATACATTGAGGATTGGTCCAATAGTAAAATATATACATTTAAAGGTAGCAGCTACTTAAACAAAATCAATCTAAGCCAATATCAAAAGACTTGCGCATCAAACTTTTGAAATGTGCGAACATGAAAATGACGTATTACTTAATCACAACATTATTATTTCATTGGATATACAATACTCTGAAATGGCTTTAACACGAGTTGATTTGTCAAAAATAGTTACGATCGTCTTCCAAGTGACTCGGAAATCCGGAATGATCTCCATTTTATTCGTGCATTTATTTATTTTTTGTTTTAATTTATTTCAGTCACTCAGTATTCTGGAACTGTATTACCATTCGTTGGCGATTCGTATATAAACTTCAGATTAATATGTACAATTACCATTTTCTTCATGATTTTATTCATGGCTTAACACACATATACAAAAAAGGCTGACGTCATATCTTCCACTTCATAATTATACTTTAGAGATTAAAGGCTTTTAATCGTGTATTTACTCACCTAGTAAAATATTGTTCAGGTCATTATCACAATTTAAACTCACACCCGCTCCATTTGTGTGACTATATATTAGAGCTTAGATAAACTATGATATTAATATTGGCCCAATGTTGATACACCTTTCAGAACGACAAAAGTTCTCACGCTTTATATTTTTATTATTAATTTCAGAATTTTCCCCTAAAAATCTCAATTCCTCAGACCAGCATCCAAATTGTAATGATAGTAATAAGTTTTTATGTGGATGCTCTATTATAGAGTAATTAGTTTTTCAATTACGTCATGACAAATGTAAATTTGTTTAAATTATTTAGATAAAATTCGATGTTTATGAACATTATTCAGAAAAAAATTATAAATCCTTCAAAGTTCAAGAATTTGTGAGATGTCACGTACTATGATACAAATCATACAACCTGGGCAAAGGCATGGAAAGTCAATTTTTGGAGAATAGAAAGGGATATTAATGGGATAAAAATATATAGAGCAATTTATAAAAGCATTCACGTCACAAACTGATAACCAAATTGTCAATTTTTTCTAGAGATTTTCTAAGTTCTATAGTATTCATAGTTTAACATGAAATCATAACTTCAATATAAGTTATCCGATTTCACTTTTGTTTTGGCTCTGTTTCTTTTGTTTTTCTGCATCAATATATTTTTGATGTAGACTTAGCCTTTAAACTAGAGTCCTACAGCAAAAAGGTCATCCCAAAATTAACCATTCTTTGACCAAAAGAATGTTATCATTTCCTTGTGCGACATCTCCTCTTATATAACTTAAATTTGTGTCCTCAAGTGACTTTTTCGTTAAGGAAAAAGTCCGCCCTAATATTAATTTGGTTAGAATAAAGTAAGAAAATGAGAGAAACATATAAGTGAAATATTGAGCAATATCCTATTTAAAAAATGAAAAAAGATATGACTGTTTTGAAGTTGTCATCACTGAAAGTCAAGTTTACAACACTTTTACATATATTTTGATCTTCTCTTAAATTTGCTCCATGCAGAACGTCTTCATAAACATTCATTTTATTAATTATTAATTGTTTCATCCAGGGTTGTAAATATACATGAATTTAGGATAAATCTGTGAATTTATATTTTGATTAAAGGACTAAAGGAAAAAATACGAATAAAAAAACACAATTATTACATGGGCAAACAGAATGGGAGCTAGAAAGATTCGTCACAGAGACGCCAAGTTGTGTTCGATTGATTGTACCTCAACAAAATAATTACTTTCTAATTTTGTGTTTCGTTTGCTTTTGCTCAAATTTTCACTGACCAGTTTATCTTTTTTTTTTGTCCGTCTTCTATTAAAACCAACTTAATATCAGGGTGGACTACACCTTTAACGGGACTCGGTTACATTGTCCAGATGAAAGAAAATGGTACACAAGTAGTGACTTCAATGCTTGATGTGCAATTAAAGATAGTCTTAAAGTCTAAGTGGAAACGGACCATTATTAATTATAACAAATAGTGAAAACTGATCTGATCGAATCCTTAATTCTCCCAACTATATTATTATAATTTAATCAAACTTAAGGTAATTGTTTATCGTATTTTCCTATTGACATTACTGTTTACTAGGTTAATGATATACGTTTATTTTGCAAACGAGTATTATTTGTGTAACTGTTCTGTATAAATGTTATAAACGATGTAAATACTTTGTGATGCCGGCCAGTCTGTATAACTCGTACCAATAACCTTCCAACTCCTATATCTACATTTGCTCCTACAGTTGAGCACTGTCAGAAATTGCAGTTTCACTAAACTTTCTTATATATATATATATATATATAAAATATCTTTTCCCGTAACATGACAGTAATTTTAATAGTTTCATACTTTTAATTAAATGTAATGTAAATTGTTATTGTATAATTGCTTTAAATAGGGGCACGCTACAAGAGTCCTATCTCGCACCCCGGGGCAACGTGTTTGACACGGCCGGTTGTAGAAACTACTCCGAAGATCAAGATTTAATCTTGATCTAAGGAGACACGAACGAACGAACTTTTGGGATTCGAGGCCTTTTTTATCGTGTATTTACTCACGTTTTAATAGGTAAATATTTTTCAGGTCATTGTCACAGTTTAAACTCAAACCCCGCTACAATAACTGTATGAATATTGATTACAGCTTCGATAAATGTGATAGTAATATTGGCCTAGTGGTGATACACCTGCAAGGACGACAACAATTCTCATGAATCCATTACGCTTATCTCATCAAACTCGTTCACATGTCAATTTCCAAGATTCATATTCGAGAAAAAGCCGATATTTTCATCCGCGCGTCAAAGGATATTGGTATAAGGAGAACGAACTTCCTAGACTTTTGAAATAAGAGAGAGAGAGAGAGAGAGGGAAAGAGAGGGAAAAAGAAAGAGTGGGTGGATGGTCCTACCTTTAAAATCTAGGGTACTTTGCGGGCTTTAAGGAAATACAGTATCAGTGTTGTTTTTTTCTTCAATTGTAAAATAACATAAAAAGATATTATACATATTAATGATATAATATATTTATACAAATAATTTCATGGCAGTTAAGTCTTCTATCAGCAATTCCTCAAACCTGTGAAATGTTGAAATTATATAGCTCAGCAACATAATCATTGGCTAGCACCCAGTAAAGAAAGAACACGTGCTCGACCTTGTGTATACAAAAACAAAACGGAAACGGTCTTAAAACTAGCGGAATTGTAGGTGTATGTATCTTATCAGAACTTTATTTATTAATGTAAATTTTGTCATAGTGTTCTTGTAGGTCGACCATTTTTATTTATTTATTTATTTATTTTTTATTTTGTTGTTGGTAGGGGAGGGGGGTGCATATGCTTAGGAAGATTTTCAGAATTGGGGGGGGGGGGGGCTCCATCATTTTTTGTTTACCCGCCGTTTGAAGATTTTTGTCTTCCCCCGACTGCCCCCCCCCCCCCGTTGTCACCATTTCAGACAGTCCAAAATTGTTAAGCCTTCCTTTTTCTTGTCTCCTTGCTCTACCCTCATTTTTAGACTACCACTGGGGTGGGGGAGGGGGTAGGGTGATGAACTGGAAACACAGTATTGTTTGCCTTTGGGTCTAAATTATATACCCAATGGGCAATACCATCATGTGAGCGTATAACGCGTGCTGATTTTTTTTTTCTTCAAAAAAGTGACCTGAAATCATTGCATTATAAACCCTTATTTTTAATAAATCCCCTGAAATAATCATTTTAACATGGGTTTAATAGATTAAACAAATATGGCGTCGGAGGTTCTAGGACGCTACTCACGTTCGGAATTACATTATGCAGTTAGACCATGCGAGCGCAAAGCGCGAGCCAAATTTGTCGATATAATGACTTGATAATGTAAAGTGGGTAGGCAAAGGGCGTGGTTCTAAACTTACAGAGACACTTCGATGAAGACACCCTTACTCTATGATTGCCTGTGTTGAACTGCCCTGGGCTTTACAACTTTAAACCTCAGGGATTTATTTTGCATATATAGGTATTTACATGTTCATTTATATAATAAAAGGAAATAATGAATATTCAAATATCATAGGTAGCAAATAAAGGATGACAAACAGAGGAATGAAAACAAACAGATAGGACAATAGTAGGAGACCAGCCTGTGGATACCGTGACCAATTTCTGGGAACAAAGGTTTGAAAGTGTGTTTTTGTTCCCTGATGAATACCGAACCATTTTGACTTGGGCTGGAGTTCTGGTCATCCAATTAGATTTCGAAATAAACATTTTCAAAGCATTGTGAAATTAGATTAGGTGTACATAAACAAGATTTAGGGATTATTAATAGAAGGCGGAAAAATATGAGAGAAACTGGTCAGACAAAGTTTGAGCAAAAGCCAATTGAAAGACAAAAGGAATAAATTGGTTAAGGGGCTTTCAATCAAACACAACTTAGCAACTTTGTGACGTATCTTATGAGCTCTCCTCTTATTTGCCGATGTAATGCAAGACTTTAAACATTTTCTATTAAAAAAAGCTCAAGCATACATTCCCCCTAGTATATTTGTTTCAAATGTGTATTAAACAACCCTGTATGAAATAAATCTATTCAGTCATCAATAACTAAGAAAATGAAAGTTTTATGAGATGTTCTGCACGTTCTGCATATTAGTGAAATAATATGGACCCAGATTTGTATTGACATCAGGTAAAACATTTCTCGTGGGATGTTATTATCGTGTTCCTGACAGCCGAGTAGAAGATTCCGCCTTCTATTAAAACGAACTTAATACGAACTTTAAGAGCGAAGCGTGCAGCTAGATCAAAGTCTTCTAAATCATGCATCAGCATAAAAAACTGAGTCACATGTTCTCGCGTATGGGATTCTAGGCCTTTTATCGTGTATTTACTCACTATATTAAATATTGTTCAGGTAATTATCACAGTTTAAACTCAACCCCCGCTGCAATTGTATCAATTTTGATTAGATTTGAGATAAAAGTGATAGTGATATTGGCGCAATGTTGATACACCTGAAAAACAGACAAAAGTTCTCATGAATTTAACATTATAATCTCGTTAAACTCGTCTTCATGCCATACTCATTTCAAGATTCATTCTAGACAAGCTGATATTTTCAACCGCTCGTCAAAGGATTTAGGTGTAAGTAGAACAAAATTCCTACACTTTTGAAATGAGAGAGAGAGGAGGGTAATGGTCGGAATTTTTACATCTTGGTTATTTTGCAAGCTTCTAAGGAAATACAGTTCCTCTTTTGTTATTGTGATAAAATATATATATTCTATCACAATAAAAAAATAGACATTTTACTAAAATTCGACTATTTATAATATAATAAATTTAAACAAATACTTCCACAGCAGTTTGGTTTCCTATCAACATTCTTCAAACCTTTAAAATATTTAAATAATATAGCTTAGCCACAGAATCATCATAGATTTGATGGATTGTTGATAATATACCCAGTTGTTGTATTAGTACTTGTATATATTGTATTATTACATAATTTATACACTATTCCACTTTCAACATTGAAAATGCTCTCAAATGGCAATCTTTAATTACCGCTAAGAATTACCGCCAACACGGTAGCAATGTCGGTAGACTTGTGCGTCACCTATATTGAAATGTGCGAACATGACAATCAATGACGTACATGATCGGAACATGATTTGTCCATAGGATATAAATTATACATGATATTATTGAAACATAGAAAAAGAAGTTACCATCGTGTTCCTGTTACAAAATTATTTTGTTTTAAATAGTCTTGCCTCTAAAGTTAGAAATAATATCTTTACCTGTTTAATGATGTGATTGTGAGAATATGATTCTCCTTGATATATACAATTTAAATGTTAGGCTTTCTGAAAGTAATTTCAATACTTGCACCCAGTAAAGTAAGAACACGTGAGTAAGGTAAGATCACGTGATCGATCTTGTGTATACAAATAAGTCAGAAAAATGTCTTAGAACCTGCGGAATTGTATGAGTATGTATCAACACACAGCTTTGTTAATTAATATAAATGGTGTCGTTCAGGTAAGTAGGCCTAGGTAGAGGTTTTGGGGGAGGGAGGAGAGGTGCTATCAATGACATTATTTGCCGTTTTAAGGCAAAGATCGGTAAAAACTCAATTACAAGTACCCCTACGTTTTTAGTAAATCAAATGAAAATCAATAATCTGTATTGTAGACAAAGAAAATAGCCCCATTTTCAAATAACTGTTGAAGATTAGCATTTTTCCCCCCTCATAGTAACATACAATGCAGTTTTGATGAAAACCAGGCTTTCGAGTTTTAAAGATATAATATTTAAATTTCGAAAAATAAACATAATTGCCACTGCCTGATGACTTCAGAATTTAACACGTTTTTTACGATACAATGACAAATAATGTAGATATCTCTTGTTGTAGCAGCCTTGTTTTATTTTGATGATTATGGACCTACTTGGTATCAGACCATTGATATATTAAAACAAAATGCAAAATGGCAATTGGACCAAATGGCAGAAATGTCGACCCCTCTCTCTCTCTCTCTCTGCTTGTTTTTCCCTCTCTTTGCTGGTCCCCCTTTTTTTCCTTTATTTTCCCCTTCCTCTGACTATCTTTCATTAAAAACAGACAATCCAAACAAAAAATATTGCTCTACGCACTTCGAAAAAAATTAATGCTAACACATTTATTTAAAGTCATTTAAAAAGGTGTGTCTGTAAACTTTCAATAAAACATATATATTTCTCCCTCCCACTTTCTCTTCCTCTTCGTATCTCCAGTACAGGCTTGCAACATGACTTTCAACGTGACCATCAGCCTGTTCCTCATTGCCGCCATCGCATGCCTCACCGAAGGATGCTGTCCGGACATGTTCGTGGGAGTCGGTGACCGCTGCTACCACTACAGCTCCTACAAGAGAACATGGAGCGGTGCGGATAGTGCATGCAGAGGGCTTGGGGCGCATCTAGTGAGCTTCCACAACTCGGGGGAGAGTGCAGAGGTCTATGACCTTTGGAAGAGTTATACCGATGTGGCTTACACCGATGATAAAGACAGGGTGAGCAGACGAGTATTCGTAGCTGTATGGGGGAGGGTGAATTGAGTGGCCATATATAATTTCGAATACAAAAAATAAATAAAAAGAGAGAGCATATTGCTCCGTTTAGTCTCATTTCACAACGCCCCCTATCGTTAGAGTAAGCAGCCTAACATGTTAGCCTATGGAATTTTACCCCCCCCCCCAAATCGTTTAAAATTCCTTTTTTTTTCAAACGAAAAGCATATCCACCCCGACGTACGTTATCACTAGCTCTTTCATTGGAACCCTCATGTCCCATTGACTTTTGAAAGTTCACCCACCGTAATTTGATCAAAATAGGTTGCAAGCTCGCTATTGCCTATAATACACATGTGAAACAAGTCGAACTTTGGACTCAGTTTGCCAAGCGATTTTAAGATTATAGGTCAAGCACACGTAGGATAAGAAGCATGAATTATCAAGGAACCATTCTGCTTTGTTCATTATGTCTATTTCATCCAACCCCCACCGTAGTTTTTCCATTTAGTAAAAGCAAACATTTTGCGGAGGTAAGCAAAAACATGAATATTCATGAACGGTCAGACAATACAGCCTTTTAGTACGTAACGTATAGTGAAATGGAATGGGCGATGATCCGTCCAGGAGGTAGAGGTCAGTGGTTTGTGCTGGCAATGTTCCAGCTAGCGAAAATGAGACAACCGGAGCAATATGAGAGAGTTAGGCACCAATTAGAGGATACATCCAATGTAGTTCAGCTGTGTTTGACTTGATTGTAATTGTTCATTCCTTATAATGTTTGTTATTGTTTTATTTGTATGTTTTTAATCTGGTTGCAATATGCAAATCGCAAAAACACAAAATTAATTAATAGGTTTTTGAAGAAGATAGTATCTATATCGTTTCAAATGTATACAAAATATATGATATGATTACACTATCTCTTAAAAAGAGGTAAGACAAATATTAGATAGCTTAGACAGATAGCGAGATGTGGTTGGTCTAGAGCTCGTCACGTGATATCAATTGCGAGGGTCGTAATTGTTATATTTTCCTGGTCGGTCACTTTCCAGTGTTATATTAACCAGCCGGTGAAATCAATATTTTTAATTAATGCATGTCGCCCTCTCGAGGTTTTTATGTCACTAATGACACATTTTTTTCTCCCCCCAACATTTTTTTGTTGATTATTTTTATAATTTTGAAAGATATGATTTGTTCCCGAATGATCTCGACGTATCTTTGTCCTCACAATTGTTATATTTTCCTGGTCGGTCACTTTCCAGTGTTATATTAACCAGCCGGTGAAATCAATATTTTTAATTAATGCATGTCGCCCTCTCGAGGTTTTTATGTCACTAATGACACATTTTTTTCTCCCCCCAACATTTTTTTTTTGATTATTTTTATAATTTTGAAAGATATGATTTGTTCCCGAATGATCTCGACGTATCTTTGTCCTCACAATTGTTTTGTAAAATGTTGTTTGTCCCCCCAAAAAATGTGAACACATTTCGGGCAACAAAAAATGATCCCCCAAATTTTTTCAAACCAAGGCTATCCGATAAAACACAAATAACACAACTGGGCGTTGTGGCGTGCGCTTGTAATCCAGCTAACAATGAAAGCTACAAACTGATTCAGCCAAAGACGCAGGTTCGAAACTGAGTCACGTCTTTCGGATGGTGACGCTAAAAGTCGGTCCCCAGACGTAAACAATCATCTCTAATTGGTACACGTCTGTAAAACCAAATTACACACACACTTACACACCATTCCAACTTTATAGGAAACAGAATAAAATTATTTTCATCATCTCGAATGAAAAGCAAGAAAAATGGCGTTGACGATAATTGTTTTCTTAATAATTATATTAAAGTTAATACAAAGTTTTGGTATTGGGTCATGAATTTGGTTCAAATGAATATATTGGAAGTTTATGCTATCCTACAATATTCAGTGATCGTTGTCGTGGTTGAAATCTAGTTTAAAGTTATGAAATTGTAAATGATAAACTCTATATGTTGTATAGCTCCCCATCAAGTTCAAGATATTACTTAAGCTGTAAAACAATGTTTCTTGACTAGTATCGACCGATTAGCTATTCCCGTTTGGAAATTATATATTAAAACCACATATTCTGAGATTTTCATGGTCGCGGCTGCCATTGTACGGCCGTATGCGCTATTTGAAATTTATCAAAATTTACCGGGAACACCGGTAAATTTGTATATTTAATTTTTCTCGATAGCAGAAGTGTTTTAGGGGCTTAATTTTCTAGTGCTTTTAAAACATCCCTTAACATAATGAAATTTGATATGGTTGAATGAGGCATGCAGTAAGCCCACTAAAGATTTAAGGTATAGAATAGCCGACAATAAGGAATCACTTTCTTTTCTTTTTCGATCTTGGAGATTTGACTGGAACTGATGTTGAGATGTTGTTTCTTTAATAAACAAAAATTAAATATTACTATACTTTTGTTAATGGCTACTTAATTTGCATATAATCATTCCGTTTCTTCCCTCGCGTATGCAGGCCTATTGGATTGGTTTTAATGACAGGAGCTACGAAGGCTCATTTAGGTGGAGTGATGGGACTAGTGTGACCTACACTCATTGGCAGAGCGGCGCACCTAACGACAACAGGGGAGAAGATTGTGTGTCTCCCCGTAACTCTGGTAGCAGTGACATTACCAGGGAGGAGTGGAATGACTACGACTGCAACGAAGAGAAATCCTACTTCTGCTACGTACCTCTCACCTTCTAAATCACTGCATGGCAAAGGTTCCCCATAGGTCAAATCAACCGTATCGCAAGAATTAGCTTCAACACACTAGCCAACTTGGACGTATAAATATAATTGCAATAAGTACAATAAAAACAAAAGAAATAAACAAAGAAAAATAAATAAATACGGATGTTAAATAAAGACCAAACCGCCCCCACTCAGTTGATGCCAATATCCCTCAAATTCTGATTAATGTGATATTGATTTAGATGGTATTGTACTCTTTTAAAGACAATTGCACAACATTGTTATTGTAATTAGAAATTCCATTATTAGAACCTTCTATGTTGTGCGAAAACTAGAAAATGCCAAAATAACCATCCGCCAACGGTCACTTTGGGCTATAAAAGTAGTTCACTGTCTGGACTGTTCTCTATTCGTACGTCTTAGCGACCTATCCGCGCCCGCTCATACGCTAGCTATAAAAGGGACTTTTAGATTTGCAAGTCGACATAGTAGACTGCTACATGTGACTTCATTTTAAGGCACTGACAGTGCTTTACAAGAACGTCATATTGCATTAAAAGGACGTCACACGTAGCTAACACAGTTCCTTTAAAGGAAGTCACACGTAGTAGTCACAGTCCCTTTAAAGGAAGTCACACGTAGCAGTCCCTAATACTAAAAAGTCACGCATGAATACAGACCCTTAGAGCTAGTGAGGAACGGTAAATTCCGTTGTGAGAGAGCGCGCGAACGCACTCAAAGATAAAATATTTCAAACCAAGAACTTCTTGTTCAAACGAACATAATCTGTTCCATGTATTAAGTAGTGTTTTTGCATATATTGTAATTAAGTTTGTCCTGAATGATTACGCAGAAGCACAGAATGAACTAATTTATCGATAAATGACCGCTGAGAACATAATGAAGTCTACACAAACTTTATTTATTTATATAGGTCTATATTATGTTTATATGGATCTCGTTTCCCCTGAGGATGTCGATGTTCTGTGCGATAGAGAGAAAGGAGAGAAAGGGAGAAAGAGAAGGGACTGAAGGAGAGATAGTGAAGTAGGGGAGAGGGGGAGAGCAAGAGAGAGGAAGAGTAAGACAGAGAGCGAGAGAAAAGGAAAGATGGGAATGATTAAAGGAGCGAAAGAGTGAAAGGGAGAGAGAGAGAGAGAGAGAGAGAGAGGGGGAAGGTAAGAGAGAAAGAAGGGAGTGAGTGAGAAAAAAAACGAGAGAGAAAGAGAGGGAGAGAGAGAAAGAGCAAGAAAGAGAAAGAGAGGGGAGAGCGAGAGAGAGAGAGAGAGAAAGCGGGAAAGTGGGAGGGAGAGAGATTTCTTATAGCAAATTTGCTCCTAGCCATTTAGATGCCATGATTCCAAAATCTTATACAAGTTATTGAAACTTGCTATTGATAACAACTTTTATGACATAAGGCCCCGTTTTCCTTTAATGTTGCTTTACATTTCCATAACCCATCTCGTCCTTATTTTCTCTTTTCCATGTACCCTTCTCTTTTTACCATTTCATGAATTGCAGCAAAGCTAATGGCCGCAAATTTAGCGTACCCGCATCCAAAGAATAGAACAGTATCCCATGGTTCTAGGACACCTAGCCCCTCAATATCCACCCCGGAAGTCTATCCCCGGACACCTACCCCTACGGCAACCGTCCTCTAGGACAACTACTCCCGAACAACTATCATAGGGGTTGGTTGTCTGGGAGTAGCTGTCCAGGAGGTTGTTGTCCTATGGGATAGTTATTCGGGGTAGTTGTCCTGGGGGTAGTCGTCCTAGAGGGTGGTTGCCATCCCCGGATAACCACCCCAGACAAGTACCCCCCTAGGACAACTACCCCCTTGGACAACTACCCCTTAGGGCAACCATTCTCTAGGAGGATTACCCCCAGGACAACTACCCCATAGGACAACTCACCCCCAGACAAGTAAACATATCAAAATCCCATTGGATGAACTCGCACGGTTTTGGACTATTTTGGTCATTTCGATTGGTAGCTTGTGTTTTGCTGAACTACACGGGTTAAGCGGAGGGCCGAAGTTAGATAAGATTGGTTTGCCTGCCACTTCCACACAAACTAAGCCCACCTTGTTTATTCGAAAGATTTTATTATAATACACACATTTTCACATTTTTTTAAATAACGGTTACCACTTAAAATCAGAGGGAGCGTCCAATAAATTTGCTCTTTGGCATGAAAATATGATTTAGTTAATATTAGTCTAAGGAATCTACTTGGTGTCGCCTCCTCACTCCTGAATAAGAAGTGAGCAGACCTTCTGGCTTTGATCCCATATCCTTTAGCATTACTATTAGTTGTGACAAATTGAAATAAGCTAATTTAAATTGATTTGGGAAGGTATTGGTATGGACAACTACCAACAAGAAAGAAGGCTAGAGGTTAGGGAATTTTTTTTTTAAAGAGGTCAAAAGTCATTGACCTCTGCCTAAATGACTGAAAATTGTATTTCAGCAACAAAATATGGTTTACATAATCTTGGTGTCAAAGTGCACAGGATTACAAAAGAAGATGACATTTGGTGGATTTTTATTCATTCCAAGAGCAGAGGGGGAGGGAGAATTTTCATTTTGGGGATTAAAGGTCATTGCTCCTGCACTAAAACGCAGTAAATTGTATCACAGCAACAGCATGTTTGACATAGGTCTCAATGATCTTGGTGTCAAAATGCACATAATTATACTAGGAGACAAACCAAATATTAAATGGATTCTTTACCAAAAAAAATACTAGATTATTGGTAAAGAATGAGCAGGGGAGGGGGTAAAAGTTTTTTTAGTGTCAAATAGTTTGTGTTTTTAAAGTTATGTGCATTTATAATCAACAATTTGCAGAATACTACTCACACCTTAGAACTTACAGTAACTAACGCAACACAATGTAAACTAATAGTACTTAGTCTGTTTCCTCTTCATCGCTACCAATAACTTGTTCTAACTAATTTGTGTTTTAAAAGTTATGTGCATTTATAATCAACAATTTGCAGAATACTACTCACACCTTAGAACTTACAGTAACTAACGCAACACAATGTAAACTAATACTACTTAGTCTGTTTCCTCTTCATCGCTACCAATAACTTGTTCAGCATCTATGCTATCTGTTCCATTGGGACAATGTCCACATCAAACTGTAAATGCATTACGCATGACTTGCCAGCTTCCATGCAGCTGCATTTCATTTTTTGACACTGCCTCTCCCCTTCTTTGCAGTTGAAACAAATTCCACCCAGAAGGTTGTCTGGCGCGATACCAGCATACAGCATCTTTGGTCTGAGTTTTCTCTTCCAATCTAACTCCTATCCTGTTCATTTGGGATACAAAATAAAGGTGTCAAGATGCTTCATATCAAAACTTGGAGATGGACACGAAAGCAATGTTGAGCTGTTGCATCTTCCGTTGGTGGAAGGCGGTCAGGTTCGATTTTGCCCTTGGCTGCCTGCTTCTTGAACTTTATATAGCGAAACTTATAGTGGAGTCGGTTAAAGTGTCACTCGTGGCGGCGGAGCGACTTTTAAAGTGGGGGGTGGGGGGGGGGAACAACACAAAAGGGCACCTACAAAGTGAAGCCTCAAAGCAAAAATAACATTTGTTTAAACATTGGTATATACCCTAGTATTGTGATTACATTATCGTGGATGATTTCAATATTATACTCTTTATACATCGTATAAGATATTGCTTAAGCATCATACCTTGCAGTTGGGTGTGATGGTCTGAACATTCATTTGCGAGCGAGCAAAGCGAGCGAGGACAAAAATTACGTTTGTGAGTACGCAGTGCCAATAAATTACATCTTATAAAGATAAGAAATCCCATTCTGATGGGGTTATAATCACATTTTCATTACAGAAGACTGAGGGGAACTTTGGTACATAACATAATTTAACATCTATAGATACGAGCGAGCACAGCGAGCGAGCTTTGGGGGATATTGCTCTTAGTCGCTTGAAATTAAGGGCACGTTAAATGATGCGAGGAAAAGGGGACACTTATCGAAAGGATGACACTTATTATAAAAGAAAAGGAGGACGCGTCAAAGTACAACGGGTGATTATAAGAAGCGAAAATTGGGCACTTCTTACACCTTAAAAGGGGCAATCACCAGGGATGAAAAAGGCACTTATAAGAATGGGAAATGGGCATTTGTCGACGGAAAAGATAGGGGCGTTTATAAGAAGCGAAAATAGGCATTTATAAAAAGAGGGATAGGTTCCTTATAAGAAAGAAAAAGGGGCACGTATCATCGTTAAAAGGGTAATTATCAGAGGTGAAAAGGGACACTTATCGCATCTGAAAAGGGGAACTTATGAGAATGAAAAAGGGGCACTAATAATAAAGGAAAATGTATGTTTGTTGAAAGAAAAGGGGCACTGATCAAATTTTAATAAGGGCATTTATCGGAGGTGAAAGTGGGATATTATGAGAAGGGGGAAGTGACTCTTATTAAAAAGGAAAAGAGGCACATTATTAGAATAAACGGGGCTCTTATCTGAAATTAAAAGGGGGGTAATTATGAGAAGGGGAAGGGGCACTTATAAGAAGGAAAAAAGCAATTATTAGGAAAGAAAAGGGGCACCTTTTTAAAATAAAAGGTGCAGTTATTAGAGATGAAAAGAGAACTTATCAAGAGGAAAAGAGGCACTTGACAAAGTAATACGAGTATCTCTCAGAATTTAATAATGTCATTTACCAGAGATGAAAAGGAGCACTTATGAGAATGAAAAGGGACTATTTTCATAGCTAAAAAAGGGGCATTTGTGAAAAGGGGCATTTATGAAAAGGGGAAGGGGCTCTTTCTTACTGGGGGCACTTATCATAATGAAAAAGGGGCACTTATTAGAAAGGAAAGGGGGCCACATATGAAAATATAAGGTGCGCTTATCCGAATTAAAAAGTGGTAATAATTAAAAGGGGAAGGGGGATTTCTTACAAAGGAAAAGGGGCACTTGTCAATGTAAAAGGGGCCCCTCTCAGATTTGAATAGGGAAATTATCAGAGGTGAAGGGCGCGCTTATCAAAAGAGAAAATGGGCGCTTCTTGTACCTGAAAATGGGCACTTACTAGAGATTAAAAAGGGTACTTATAAGAGTGGAAAATGGACCCTAATTGCAAAGGAAAATGGGAACTTGTCGGAGGAAAAAGGGATACATGTCAAAATAAAAGGGGCATTTATCAGAGGTGGAAAGGGGAAGGGTCACTTTAAACAAAAAATAGGGGCACTTGTCAAAGTAAAAGGGGCATTTTTCCTATGTAAAAACGGGCATTTTTGAGGTACTTGAAAAAGTACCCCTCCCCCCCCCCCCCCCCCCCCCCTGGAGCGCCGTCTCTGAATGCAGTAATGACACTGGCAGGTGTGTCCATGAGTGCACGAAATAGGATCGTTTCAAGACCAGCCATACTTGAAGAGGAACTTTTCTTTGTCTCCGATGTCTATGCTAAAGATGTCGTAAAGACCATTGAAGTCTGCTTGTTAATAATAATCAGTACTTTGGATAGGCCTACGATAGTAGAGCAGTATCAAAATATTAGTGTCTTAGGCGACAGCAACAACTAGGGAATTAACACTTACGACCAATTCCATTGCAGACCTAACAATCAGCGTGTCAACATCATCTTTTGTTTGGCGTACAGTGATATTGTGGCTTGCCATCCAGGCGCGCCGGAAGCAGTTTGGGATTTGAGGGGAGGGGGGGGGGGGGGGGGGGGGGGGCAAACGTTCCAGGGGGCTCAAATTCCAGGGGCAGTGGCGTAATGAGCAAAAACCTTTGGAAGGGGGGGGGGGGCACACAAAAACTGCATTACCGTGATCATGTCCATTTTGACACCAAGTTCATCTATATACCATATTTTGTTGCTGAGATCCAATTTAATAGTGTTTTAG